CTTCAACTGGGGAAAAACAGTTCCTCTGTTACATTCTTCCTGTTCATCACCTTTTTCAGGTGAGAACACACAATTATTGGTGATAGAAATTCTAAGAAGTAAATAAAATTAGTTCTAATTAGTAACCAAAGTAACTTTTACTGAATAAGTAAATTGTAAATCTTTCCTCTGTGCCTACAGGACATATTCTCTCTTAAATTGTCTGTGATCATATCAGCAGAGCCCTGCTACTGGGCAAACCTGGTAAATAAAGCACAGAAATATCAGACATTCTGCAAGGTGTGAACTGGGCAAACGCTGCTGGTGTTGGTTGGTGGGGTTGTACTGTTTGCAAGAAAAACTTGCTACTGAACTGCTGCAGCCCTTTCCAGTGTTCTAATGGTGGGAAAATGGTAAAAACCTGCTACAGGCCTTGAGAAGGAGAAGGGATGAAACTGCTTTAGATTTGTCATTGTAGTGCACAACTTTACAACCAAATATTCATGTATAAACCATCATCCATTAGCTATGGTAAAACATGCACTAAAGATAATTTTAAAAAGAAACATTCAGCTGCTATTTATCCAATCAAATTTTTTTTTAGCCATTCAAGGTGGTTTGATTTTTTGTCCCTGTTTTAAAACAATTCATCCCACTCCACCTTGACATCTTGTTTACAATTTGTTTCTAGCCACAGAGAGCTGACAGATGTGATGTGATTAGCAAGACAAGACAGCCTAAATACAGAGCAGACAGCACAGCAGACAACACGCAAGGGGCCTGCGAGCTCCTCGGCACGCTCCATCATCCCTACCAGCCCTGGAAGTTTCCATCTGACAGTGGGGATGGGCATTAACCCCTGCAAATCCGCACAAGGGTTGGTTTCAAAACGGGCTGCGCTCAGGAGTAAACTCAGTTTCTGCTGAATTATAAAGTAGGTGGCTTTCTGCAGCCCAGCTCGTTCAGACAGGAGCATTTCCAGCTCAGTTCCACTATCATTAGCAGAGTTAATAAAATAATTTTGGAAGTTCAGCTTGTGTGCTGACCTTGTCCTTGGTGCCACCTCAGCAGTGCTATGGGAGCAGGTGCAGAGTCCCACAGCTGCTCTGAGCTGCAGGAGCAGAGCTGCCTGTGGGGAAACCCTCCCCTCCAGTACTCAGAGCTGTCAGACATGGAGTCATCTGTGTGTTTTCCAAGAAAAGCAGTCAGGACTGGGAGGGAAAAGAGAAAACTGAGGAACTGTCTAACAAATCCAAATGAGCATTTCTGGTGTAGGCGAATTCAGATACCTGGGGTCTCTCTTGCCAGGGTCTGTACATTACAATGCTTTGGTTTCTCACAACCACCCCCCAATCAAGCAACAGGTAACACATCCAGAGAAGAAGCTGCTTTACAATCATTTGATGGGGTCTTTCCAAAATATTACTCCCCAGTTTTGAAAGGCACACGAGGCCATCCAACATCCACCCCTCAGTACCACACATCTGAGCTGTCCAGAATCTGCAGGAAACAGTCACAAGCCTCTGCAGATGGCTTTACTTACTCTGGTGAAGTGTTTTCACTGATGGCTGTCAAATCACATGGATAAAAGTCCACAGTCAGAGAGTAGAAACTAGAAGTTGAACAAGGGGCATCCCACCTTCAGCAGGAGCAGCGCAGGTGGGTTCAGGGGCTGATGGCTCCCATCACAGCAGCCATGCACAGCATTTTGCAGAGGCATTAACCAACAGGGATGGTTCAGAGCCAGGAGGGGCAGCCTGCACTACATACTTGATCACAGCAGACTTTCATTCACTTACTCTTGTGATGAACCCAGTTACTTGCAGCAGTTCAAGAGCTGTTTTCATAAAATAACCAGTAGTCAGGAGGTTCTCCTGTGCAGCCACTTGACAGCACAGTCTTTGCTATTGACATCAAAAATGTCACCTGCCCCACCCCCATCCTCCTTCAGGTAGATCACAAGGCATTAGGGGCTTTTGAGAAAAAACAAAAAGTGATATCAACAAACAGATGAAGAAAACAAGTCTTTCAAGCCTTAGCTGATAACTGGCTTCAGAATAAATTATTAATAATTGTAATAACAAATAATAAAAAATTGTTTCACTTTATGTGTAAGGGAATACAGGCTTCCCAGGTAGCTTAGAAAAGAAACAGGAAAGAGAAAGGTCTTCCTCCAGCAAATGGAACTAGGAAAATAAAGATGTGTCACACCCTCTGATCCAGTCCCTGGGCAGGCCAGGCCAAGGGTGCACCCCCCAGACTCTGGCCCTGATCTCCCCACATCCCCAACTAGAACCTGAACAAATGGCAGTGCTGGTTACTGGGGAGCTGAGGAGCCATCCTGCTGGGCATCACCTCTCCCTGGAGCTTCATGGCACTCCTGCTCTCAGGGCACTGCTTTTGCCCACCAGCTACAACATTCAGGGCTTCTCCCAGCAGGTCCCTCCCTCCACTCCCAGCACTGTGCCTGTAAGATTTACCAACACAGAGGTTTCACTTCCCTCTTAGCTTTCATGTTTGCATTGCACACATTGAAATTCTTCTGCTTAATCCTGACCCGCTTCCAGTGGCAAAGCAGTAACAATGAGCACAGGGTGTAATGGTTTGATGCTGCAAAGTCAGCTCTACATGAGGTGTAGGGAAGACTCAGAGCAGAAAGGCTTCTGTGAAAAGCAACTCCAGTAATTTTTAGTTTGTTTGCTAATTGACAAGCTGATTTTAGACTGCATGAAGGACTAACTGCTATTCGTTTCAGCCAGTGAGCTGTTAATGAAGCTGGAATTTGTCCTAAAGACCATATGGCACATGTCATCTCTATCAAGTTATCTAAATTCCACAAAGTCCACATTTATAAGTATGTAAATATGGAAGAGGAAAATGAAATGTGATTCTTTAAGAACCATAGTTTCTGCTGTAACCCTAAGTTCCAAGCTGCAGCTGTTTATTGAATGGCATTGGTCTCTCATGCCACATGATGTTAAGACAAAAAAATTCATCTTAATTTCAAAAGGACAGCAAAAATTAAGAGTGAGATGAAGAATGTGAGGCATTTTAAAGCTCCCAATCTGATGCCTGTTCTAATGAAAATGCTGGTTTACAATGAGGATGGGTTTCCTCTGGGGAGGAAGTAAGGATAGGGAGAGCAAACAAGGTCACAGCTTTTTTCTCATCACCATTCCTGAGTACAGGACACACGCTTGGTGACATGAAGAGATCTCAGTCATGTCCCTAACTACTCAAACCTCTGCATGGCCCAGCCTGCCTGGAATTAAACCTACAAAATGTCTGAGAAATATTTAGGGCCTTGGCAGAAAACTGGAGGGGGTAGCGGGGAGGCAAAGAAATCCCCACACTCTCCAAAATCAGTGACTGATGAGTGCTAAAACTAGGTGAGATCATTCAGACATGTTCTACATGCAATGATTGCAGCTCAAATTTGTCCTATGCTTTGGAGAACCAAGATTCAAAGTATTCTGATGAACAACCAAAGATAAAAGAGAAAATCCTTCCTCCATGCAGCTGGGGGAAGGTATTTTTATGGCCCTGCTGGTCCCTGCCCAGAGGGGCACAGCAGCACCTGCCTTCCCAACATCACACTCAATCCTTCCAGCCTCCCAGAGCCAGGGGCTGGAGCCCAGGTGGGGCAGAGGTGGCCACAGATGGCCCCTGGCTCTGGCATAGTGGGGACTGGACCCAACTCCCCAGCTGGAGCAGGGATGGGATTTGAGGCTCCAGTGCCTCAGTGCAGACAAGTACACTTTGTTATTCCATGGTGTAAGACAAAAGCCACAGAGCAGGGAATAATGCAGAGATGTTTGGATTTTCCTTTCCCAGCACTGTCTCTGCAGGCCAAATGGAAATCTCCTGGGTTATTACACAAGATAAATTTGACAGGATTGTAAATCAAAGTTGTCCTAAATGGCAGAGCTGCCGACAGCAGACATTATCATTCAGTTGCATCTGATGTTTCCTTTTCTTTGTTTCTTCTTGCCATGGGAAGGAACATCCCCTCCTTAAAAGTTCTGTTAAGTGAAAAGAAGAAGCAGAAACCCCAAAAATATCTGAATTATGAACCAAAACCTGACATTTCATGTTTCCTGGGTTTGACTAAATGTAGTAATGCTGAAATAACTAGATACAGAAAATCTTTTTCAAAAGGCTTAGGAAAAAAACCCAGAAAAGTGTATCCTCTAATATTCTATGCATTTTTAAAACAGTATTCAGAGTTGACTAGATGGAAAACACAGTGACTTAGGGGAACTAGGGCATCACTTATGTGATATGAGCACTTGAGACATCCCATATACACACAAAGTATTAATAGTGTGGAATATCAACAGAAGTAATCTCTCTCTGTTTTGGGGACAGACATAGGGATTATTTTATTGTCTTTATTTACAGCAACAATCCTTTCATTGTTAATATCCTCAACTCCTGACAAACCATGCCTAAGGGACAGCAGCTCTCTCTCCCCTTTCTGGAAACTTGGGCTGTGCTTTAACTGCAATTAGGAAGCTGCTTTGATTTTCCTTCCAAGTGCACTGCTCCTGACCCTGGGAGAGGCGCTTTGGTCACACAAGGTTGTTCCCCTGAAGATGGAAGAACAGTCCCAAGGAATCTTTCTGGGTAGGAAGGGAAGCTCAAAGGCAGGGGCCAAGGAAACCTCAGCATCAGTGTTTCACCCACTTAGGAGCAGGGAATACACATTCTATAATAAACAGTAGGCACTCCTTGCAATTACCTATCTGAAAGAGTCAAATATTCAAAACTAAATTAACAAGCACAGGCCAAAACAATCTGCATTTAAATATATTAAACAGGGCAGACCTCTTCTCCAAAGCAATCTTTTTCCAGAAGTGTATAATAAAAGAATGACCCCTCTTTACCCCAACTAACAATGCAACACCCATCAGCAGGAATTTTATGACTCTGTGATGGTATTTATTGACAGCTGTCAAACATTTGGGTAAAAATATGGAGATACACTGGTAGGCACTGAGTAAGAAACATGGGGAGGGGACTCAGGTGATCAGTGGTGCGTTTATTTCGGTGCATAAAACATGTAAGGAAAATTATTTCCACATTTCTAAGAAAATGTTACAAGCAATGAAAAACAAATGGAAAAGAAACCAAGCCAATTTTTTTACAGTAACACTGAACAAGGGAGGTAAAGGCAAAGTTATTCATTCAACAGAAGCTAAGTATTTTGGAACAATCCTGGTTATGAGGAACACTGGTTAAAACAGAGTAAGTCTCCTTTATTAATGAATACTGTTCTGTGAAACAATGTTTAAAATCTGAAATGTTCCTACAGGTGTTTTTCCTGCAGTGTTGTGCAGACAGTTGAGAATAAACAAACTTGCTCTCTACTGACAGCTGGAAAGTGTGACCCAACCCTGACCTTCTCTCCCACCATCTCCATCTGGGCACAGAAGAAAGAGCAGAACCAAAGGCCAACAAAAGCTGTGGTCACCCAAGGAGCTCCTGTGTCTGCCCCGTTCCAGAGCACTCAGCAGCTCGTGTGCACAACAGTCCTTGCAAAGGGGACGAGGACACTCTGGTGTTCTTGAGATGCCTGGGTTACTAAAATTTCCAGCCTGAGAGATTTGCCTCCTGCACACAGATTTTAGCTGGGTTTGGGAATATCTTGCAAAGTAGTGAGGGGCTGGTGGGGAATCAAATGTCAAAGCCACGGCCTTCAATCCACAGCTTGAATCCACGTGGTCTTCAGCCCCACAGGTACTTCAGTTGAAAGAATCCAAGCTCAGATTTATTTTGGAACTCAATCAAGAGGTAGCAGAGAAGACAGGAGGTGCTCTTCCACAAGGAAGCAGTACAGAATGCTGTGGTCTGAGGGAGAATACAGCAACAGGCCAGCCAAGACTGCAAGCAGGTACAAACAACTGGGCTTTGACTCACTTTAGCCAACTATATTTAAATATATATATATATATATTTATCTCGAAGTTCTAAACCAAGATGCATTTCTCTTCCAGTCCCAAACACATTTTCATCTGAGATCTTTTCACGTTGCAAAATGATTTCTCCTAAATGTTTAGGGAACAGGGTTCCAAATAGGAAGGGTTTAATAACCATGTGGGTATCCTGACAGCATGAAGCTCTGAAAGAGACACCTGAACCTTTTGCTCCCACTGCAGACTCAGAGAGGCATTATTACTCATTTCATGAATAAAAAGTTAAAAAGTCAAACAGCAGCAATAAATACTCCTAAAGATGGGGAAAAAAAACAGCACTCGTAATACATATAGTAGGAGACCATCCCCTCATGAATGTCAGCCACTTATGGCTCCTGCTGTAGCACCACTTCCAGCTTATCTGGGCTACATCTTCTATACAAATTACCAGGTCATTAAAGAACTCTGAAGGACTCCTGTATGTCTTTGATGGTGGAATTCCTGAAAAAAACAAGCCATGTTGTTCAGGTTGTGAACACACATCCCACCACGTTTTCCCCAGAGTGGGTAATCAGCAGGTCCAACAGAGCTGGACATCAAAATATGGAGCCTATGGACTGAGAAAAGAAGTTCACTTAATGACCTGTAAAAGACTGGCAAGAAGAACAGCTGAACTGGTGACAGGCAGGAAAGCCATCCAGATTTCCTAGCTTGCTCTCGAACTGCAGTCACCTTTTCACAGCTGAACTGGTCCTGCAATACTCACCAGGCTAAAAACTTCATCAGTTAAGCAAAGTATAACTCTGCCCTTTAAGACTTTTTTTCTGACAGCATTTGCACACAAAGAATCATTATTCACATTTAAACTAAAATACAAAAGAAAAAATACCCAATAAGCTACATACGGTGTGCAAGTAAAGAAGACTTTCACAGAGCATGGAAAGCATAAAGTGCCACAGGAGAGCTTTGCTCTCCCTCCAGATCTCTGGGTACCCACCACACACAGCCCTGCACACACCATGTAAGGTGCAAAGCCAGGAGGAAACAGGACACACATTACTCCTGCAACATGCACACACCTTTCACTAGCTTAAAACTGATTCTGTATTTCCAAGAATGCACAAGCTGAATGATGAATACATTTATCAACAATGGGCTGTTTTGTCCCTTGATGTAAGGACAGTTCCACTAAAAAAGCTTCAGCTTTATCTGTCCTGATCAGGAGCAAAGTAACAGAGATGTCAGCTACAAAAGCAAAGGATTAAAAAACCAGTGACCAGCAGAGTCAGACACCAGTGCAAAGCTGAGGTAATCAGCAGCTGGAGGGCAAATTAAGAAGGAACAGTTCTGGTAGGCAGAATGAATTTTGCAAAGAAAAGTGCCATGATCTTTTCTGATCAGATCATTCCCAACTCTTCGGTTAAAACTTCTCCAGATATTTGTACTGCACTTGTTGCTGTGGTATTGAATTATTTTTTGATGTCCAATCAGCCCATCAGATTAAGAGTATAAACCTTTAGGGAGAACTTTTTTTATCTGGATGCAAAGTACCCTAATCCATGATTGCCATTATTCCACTATAGGAGCAGACTACTGGTTTGAGCTTCTGACTGTAACTAAAATGCTATTCCTTAGAGATCCCACCCCCACCAGAAACAGAATGGGCAATTTAAAAATAGCATTGTTTATAAGAAAACAGCTCACTTTTGTCCTGAGAACAGGTAAAGTGATTTTTCCACCCAAGGGGCCTGTAGAGCCACAGCCAGGCTGTCAGCCGTGTTCTGCTGCACTAGTGCTCATCCCTTCAGCACAACTCCATTATCCCAAGAAGCCAGAGAACTGGCTGGATCCTAGCAGGAATTGCTTTCCCTGGACCAGGTTCTTGGACTTGACAACGTTCCAAGGGGAGGGGAATTACAGAAAAATGGATATCTGCAGATGATGAAATCACTGATGTTAACAGGGCAAAGAAACTTTTGATAACCTGGATTTTCCCAGGTCTTCTTCCCCATTGTTCCTGTTCTATCTCAAAACACAGATGAAGGAAAATGGAATCTCAGATGTCTGGAGTCAGAGTGCTGAGTTTTGCAGGGATATCAGATGGGCCTTTGGGCAAATGGTACACAGAAGTGAGCACTTTTGGCATTTGGTGCTAATTTGGCACCAATATTTTGCATCACTGGGAGAGGACAGACAGCTCCTGTGGCTCTCCCAGCTGGCACACCATGTAGTCTTAATTTAATTCAAGTCAAATAGCTGTAATTGCTTTTTATCCAGATGCTTTTCTGATTTAGGTACTACAGCTACAACATGAGAGAATCCAAGACTTATGAAGAGGCAGCCTGACTGGAAATGGAGATGAGAATTTGCTGTATCCATGTATATACCTACAGCTGTGGATTCAGAGATGGAAAGGGGTTCTTATGCTCTGGTTAAGCAAGATGCAATGAGCATCAAGTCATTTTATACTACACTACAGAAGAAACCAGTTTGCAGTTTTGGGCAAGTCTTTGATGCTTGCTTTTCAATCCTAGTGAGTAAATATTAACTAATATAATTATAAATATTTTAATCCACGGGAGGTTTAAAACAACAACAAAACAAACAAACAACAAAAAAAAACCCAACAATTAATTTGATTGAAGCACTACATTTAATCCACTGATGACAAAATGTTCAAAAATAATTCCACTTCATGTATAACAGATAATGAGTCACTTAAAAAAACCCACAAAAAACCAAAAAAGCCTCAACATTGCGGCCACATATCAGCTCCTACCTATTCAAGGCTCAGAAACAAAACTGACATCCTGGCTTTAAACCACCTCAGAATGATCAGAATCCATGTTAAGCTTCTTTCAAACAGAGAATACCAGTGAAGATACTCACTTTTAAACACTGTGTCCCTCATCCCAGCATACAAAGAGCAGGATATATTTACATTATCCTAAAGGAATTGAAACTCCTTCAAGTACTTTTCAGTTTAATTAATAAGAGACACTGAATTTGGATTTCAGGGGACTTAAACTCAAGTAGGGTCTAAAATCTTGTCTGGAAAAAAAATTAGTAGCATGTGACACTTAAATGACTGACAAATCCTTAAACAACAGAGCAACATTTTTCTATCCAGTGCTTTGCACAGCATAAGAACAGTATTCTTAGGGTGATGAGTTAATTTATCTTCACTGGCCAGTTTCCAGGACTATCCACTGGTGCCACTAATTCCACCTGCAACAACCTTGCACAGCCCCATGGAATTGAGACTTAAATTTTTTATAGAAGAAAAATTGCTTTTGATTTTAACCAAAACAATTATGAAACCTAAAGCTTACGTGTAGATTTTGGTAGTGACCATTACCGTTGGAGTCCATCAGGGCAAGGGACTTTGGCCCAGAGGCCCTGAGAAGAGGAATCTCCTTTAGTTTTGCTCACCCACAATGCCCCCTGGAAAGTTACATGTTAATAGTACTAGAAAGTTCTATGGTTTCTTTGTTATTATTGGTTTAGATTTGCTGCATTGTTTTACATGTTCCTAATCTTTGTTTTTTTATTGGATCCTTTCCCTCAGGCTCTGCCCTCAACATACCTCATATGAGTTACTCTCTTACCCTGGACCCTGGCCTTTTCTGTCACCCTATCCATGCGTTTGTTGTTTTGGATATTAAAGTATTATTTCTCAGGTCACTGAATCGTGCCAATCCCTCATTTATTCGTCACCCTCTCGAGGACCTCTCACCAAGGATCCCAAGGTGACACCCAGCCAGACCATATGGGCCCAGCATGCTGCACATTACTAGTAACCTGCACAAAGAATAAATATCATTATCCAAAAGTGACACCACAGTAATCCTGCTGCTTGATGCATCAAGCAGGGACAAAACACAAATAGCAAACTCCCAACAAAAGTCTTCTAAGTTTTACTTGGTTATTATTAATAGGTAACACAATAAGCTGGTTTAAACAGTTTTCCCCAGAGGATGCCCCAGTGACTGTGTTCATCAGCAAAATGACTTGTAACGTGATGGGAAGTTCAGAACAAGCACAATGACATAATCAGAGCTGCAGTTTGTCAGCAGGGCACTGTATTTTGGAGCAGGCAAAGATTCCTGGGAATTTGCGAGGCTGCACACATAAGCAGGAAAAGGAAAAAACATTAGGACTGTTTTTTTCATCAGTCCATAACAATAAAATTAACACATCAGACCAAAATAGTTTCTTAAAAGTAGGTCAAAAATACCCATTCAGGATCACTTCTGCATTGGTTTCCTAGCAAATTCATCTACCCACATGGATATACGTAATGCGTATCCTGGAGACAGTGAGGCAGAGGAAGAAAACCAAATACATTAATGAGGTAGCTTAGACTGGGTAACTGCAGTTAAAAGTTTTATTGAACAAAAGAAGGTAAAACGTGGTAGTCCAGGTTCACTGAGCAAAAGCAGCTCTCTCACTGAAGCTGCACTTTGTGCTAAATAACCTTATTAACTGAGACTATACAGAGGACACATTATGCAAGTTATCTCAACAGCAAAGGAGAAAAGGTAGATTAAATTTGATTGGATGGAACCTTTTGGTCAAATTCAGTGGCTTAAGTTACTGTTTCTAGCCCTTAACTACCCATATTCAGTACAGCCATACAACAGAATACACTACTGCACTGAACTCCTGTCCGTTAATGGTGTGTGCTCCCATGCAAGTGGAAGCCAATTCCTGAAACAAAAAAACAAATTGTAAAACACAAACACGTTAAGGATGTTTTGTTTGAAGCATCATTCAACTGACTCAGGAAAAACACTTGATATATTGTTATAAAAAACTCCCGGCCTCTACAAGGTCCGCTCCTGTACAGTGCTAATATTTTAAAATTATTTTATTTCTTCCCTCTGCCTAAGAAACTTCATATGCTCTGAAAGCACCCACAAAGTCAGGTGGGTAAACAGATATGTCAAAAATACTCTGTGTAAAGAGGGAGGTAGCTCAGGCCCCTTGGCAACCTTCAGACAGTTCACATTGATGTGGTCTACCTACCCTTGTAATCTGCAGCCAAAAATGAAAGGAAAAAGGTTTTCAACATGAAATTTAGTGACATGTTCAATACAAATTTGACTCACTAGGCTCCCAAATGTAAGCTATAAGGTACCTCACACCCAACATACAACATTTATAACGTACCTAGCTCATACATTTTATAGACAATATCCTCTCATTTGTTAAACATTTGGCTCGGGTGAGTACATTTTTTTCTGTTAACCACTTGAGAGACATTCTAGGCCAAACAAACAGCACAAATAATGTCAAAGTCTTTTCTTTTTCCCAGTAATTGTATGAAATGCTGTAGGCTAAGCCTAACAGAAACTACTGAAGAAAAATAATAGACCCCATGGTGCAGTGCAGAGGTGTAACTACAACATCGTGAGTCAAGGGATGGTTCTAAGGTGCTGAAAGAGGAGACTCTCTAGACGGTGACCCTGAATTGTCCTCCGGAGGGAAAACAGTGAGAGTGCAGGCTCGAATGCCACCAAGGGATTCTGGAAGGTCAAATACTTTATGCCACTCATCTTTTTCTGGATCGTACTTCTGAACTATTTCCACCATGCACCGGTTATTCCAAGAATATCCTCCAACAACATAGATTTTATTTTCAAAGACAGCAACCCCAACATCACTTTGCCCACGTAACATGGCGGCAATTGGAGTCCACTGGTCTAGAGTTGGTGAGTAATATTCACAGCTTAGAACATCATCATAATCACTTGTTCCTCTAAAGTGATTTCCACCAATAACATACAGCTTGTCTCCCACAGTACACATGCAATGCAGACCTCTGACCGTCGTCATCGGAGCTTTCTGAGTCCATTTGTCTGTGTCAGGGTCAAAACACATGAGTTCCTTTTGGAAAGTATCATGGGTGATTCCCCCTAAAGAAAGAAGACACATGTTAGAGTAGTTCTCACCCTAATAAGCATTAAATAACAAAAATACATTTTACTGAAAGAATCCCATCTTCCTTAAAACTTCTTCACTCTAGCTTAGATTCCTATCACAGAAGTACTCCACTTGAAATGACATTTGTTCCTTTAAACAGGAATATGGGCAGAAGCCATGTTTCACACTGCATCTCATTATACAATTGATACTGGCAGATTAAAAGAACAAAAAGACCGTTACGTGTGCTTCCATTTTGCAAAATTTCTTTTTTGCATACATTCATTCAGATTGCTAGTTTTGTCTCTCACCATCAAGAATCCATTTCCCTTTCAAATTTTGATACTATGCCACTGTGTTTTAAGTATCACCTAGTAGAATTTTCATCAGAAAACGTTTTTCATCAACTTCAAGTGAATAAAAAGAGGACACTTTTCAAATATTCTTCAGTTAATAGTTACCTATGGTTCCCTCTACATTTACCTTCTCCATAGCTCCCTGCAAATTTGGAGAGGTTTCAGGACAAAAAGAAAAGAAAAATCTGTGGGATCTACATGAAAAAAGCACAGCAGACAGCATATCCATGTGCCACCTGCAGTAAAACAAGTGAAATGGAAAAAACACAAACTGACAACAGTTCACTTAATGACACAGCAATTAGGAGCTCAATGGAATTGCTCACAGGAAAAGAAGCACCTGTGTGGGAATACAGCTAGACAGCAGAAGTGAGAGCACTGCTAAACTGGTGGCAGAAGTGGACATGGTAACTCTGCTGGGCCATAAGCCCTGGCAGTAGAAAGCAGTGCCCTGAGGAGGAAGACCAGGCAGTGTGAGCTTGGCACCCTAGGTTTATGTAGGACCTGCACATCCAGGTCTGTGCTAGCCTGTAGTGAAGCAACACTGTTAAGAAACATAGATACAGTTGTTACAGTGAATATTGCTTAAGCAAGTGAGCTATTTTTAGCTACAGCTGAAAAGGTATAAATGTTAAGCTCTGTAGTCAATAAACCGACTTCTTGCATGGAAGTGAGTCCTGTCTCTTCAATCCCGCAACACACCTGTACCTTACAGTAAATTCTAAAGCAAATTCCTCCTGGTCTACTGGCACAAGGGCCCCTAAATGAAGCTGCTCCAGCACATCTCCCCACCAGTTCTTGTTAGCTAAGCAACCTTGTCCCACCTCCTGCTCTGAATTTCAGCTTAGTTCTTAAGAGGACACCCTTTAAAATTTCAGTAGGAGAATATAGGCCTGTGATCTCTGCAGTGATCACTGACAGACAGATTGAATCTTCTTTAAAAATTAAGCTATTAGCAGATTTTCAGGCAACACATTTGGGAAAAAAAATGTAATGAAACTACAGCCTCAGTGACATATAGGACTAAGCATATTCCAAACAAAAAAAAAAAATTATGAAAGTACAGATATCACTTATATACTATCATTAATATGAGAATTTAGCTCTTTCCATTACCTCAGTGAAGGCAAATGCTGCTCTTTAAAGTAATAAAATTTCCAATGCATTCCAAAGTTTATAGGGAAGGTGTGTTTAATTACATTGTTATATTATATCATAATACATGTTATAATTATTTAATACTGCTATACACAATTATAATTATATATTATTACAATATTATATTTAATTATATTGCTATATATTTTATATGTGTGGCTACAGAAAACTTTATTCTGATTGGTAAAGTGAGTAACTGCTTTGCAATTCAGAGCTATTAAATTACCAAGCATAATATTATCTACAATAATTTTGTCAGAGCCTGCAATGTATGTGCTGTTTGACTGGCTTCACATGAAACTGCATCACTACCGATACCATGGCAATCCTACTGCAACCACAGACTAATTTGTACTGTCTGCTGCCGAAACAGAGAAAGTTAGATAAATAATTGTTTCCCAGAGATATCACAGGCATGATTTACCTGAAATATACATTAATCCCCCATAGACTGTTCCAGCGTGACCATAGTGGGGTTCATTCATTTTTGCCACGTAGCTCCACTCGTTCATTCTGGGGTTGTAACATTCCACAGTGGCTGTTGGAGACAAATGAGAGCATAGAAGTGTTGAAACCAGCATGGAAGTTTGGTGCTGAGCTCAGTGCAGTGCCAGAAACATTCACAGAGGAAGTACCACCTAGTAACACTGTTCAGTCTCAAGGGAATTATTGAGTACTACCACAGAAACACAGAACAGATGGGGTTGGAAAGGGCCTCTGGAAATCATCTAGTCCAAGTCCTCTGCTAAAGCAGGATCACCAACAACAGGTTGCATAGGATTGCGTCCAGCTGGATTGTACCACCAGTAAACTTGCTGAGAGAACACTTGCTGACTAATTTTCTATTGTATTGCAGTGTTTTATTAAGGATTTGCACAGCAACATACAGCATAGCATATGCAAGTCACTACATCAATTTACAAAATCCAAGCTTTAAAAAAAAAAAAAAAAAAAAGAAACATCTCTGAATCTGGAAAGGAGTTTGGCGGTGCCTGTGCTGATGTACAACTCCATTTGTGCAGTTTTCTCTGTGAGTTAAAAATGTTAAAATGATCAAGGGCTTTATCAGATCAGAAATCAAGAGGACAGTGCAAAGTTAAGAAGAAACCCAAAGCCCAGGAGTCAGCACAGGATGGATTCCTGAGAAGGAAATCTCTCTCTGACATAAGATGGGAGAGATGCAAGCTGCAGGAAAAGGGCATGCAACAAGCACAGGGAATACAAATAGAAGGCAGATTCAATAAGGGAGCAAGCTCTGGGTATTGGCAGATTGAATACTACATGATCAGAGAGGCACAAGATCCTCAAAAACCCCATAATTTAATGACTTTATGATGCACAGAACAATTGTCAATAATTACCTTAAAGACAAATTAAAACTAATTTTAAATAATTAAAGATTGCTTAATCTCTGTTTATGAACTATACATGGGAAAATCAAATCTGTCTTTAAAAGTGGCATTTTACTTGCTCTAGAACAAGTTTTATATTGAATCAAGGGTAGAAAATATGAGTCAAATCTAAGGAATGAGTGATGGTGACTTAACAGTGCAGGATTACACATCAACCGAGAGAGAAAATACCCTTAGAATCTGTGACACTTGCCATTATAAAGGCAGAACCTTTAACTAACTAAAAAGTTAGTGTTAGTTTAAGCCTAATTACAGAATTATAGACCAGCCCAGTAAAGAACATCAGATAGTAAAACATAGTGAATATACACCCTAACTCCAAAGCTATTTTTAAAAAATCCTCTGGATCATTTTGGAAGAATATAGCTGTGGTCTTGGACTACAATAAAAATAAAAATCCTTAGTCATGAAAAAGTTAGTATAGAGCACATTAGAGTGACCTTCTGAATTCTCTTTTAGTTGCTGCGTAACATCCTTATTGTTGCAAAACGGGTGATAATACATAACTCCATGCAATTAGTGTCTCAAGTACACACACTGAAAATAGAAGCTTCCAGTTCCTCTGTCAGAAACACTGACAGCCAGCTCAGCATCATCTAAGGCTAGAAGTGAAAAATTAAAGGATCTATTTTGCACATAAGAATTGTTAAATTGTTCCAGCACACAGGATTTGCTTCAGCTTTTCCCCACCCAGGAGCCGAACTTCAAATTTATGAAATGCAGCAAAGTGCCAGTCCAGAATGTTAAGCTCATGAAATAAGGCAAAACACACTGAATTTCTGCTTTTTTCTAAACAATATTATATATGTTGATTTGCATGTATAAAATTATTAATTTCATATTCTTGAAACTGTTTCAAAATAGTAATGAAATCTTGAAATGCATCTGGTTCTGTGAAAGTGCCTCACAAAAGGACTCCCAGTTCTTCCATCTCATGGATGTGTAAGATGGACAAAAAAATAACAAACCAATGCAAAGTAACTCAAGTTGTGTGTGTCCACAATACTGGTGATGTACCAAATTTTTTTATTCAAAAAATCTGGCCAATATATGGGCAAGTTCCCAAGTCTACTCTAAGAGATCTGCCTTGGTTGTTTGGGTTTTCTGAATAAGGACAGAAATCTCCTCTTAAAAATAAATTGTATTCTTTTCCTTTCAATATGCTGCAGGCCTTCTGTATCCCATCCCAAGGACTTAGCCATAAATCCAGTGAATGCTGGAGATGCTCTTTTGCCCAAAGAAAGGTCTGTAGGCACAAAGAACTGATTCCCCAAATGACACCTAAAATTAAATCTGAGTTGTGTTTCTGTGCAGTGCCGCCTTGGCATCACAGGCAGTTTTTGCCCAATCTCCAAATAAACCCATGCTCACTCTTGTAAACATATTCATCCATTCCAATATTCTTTTTTTAAAAAGGAAAGCTCCTTTCCACTCTGCTCTATTTAGCAATCAGAAGCAAAGATGTGCAGAAATCTCAAAACCAGAAAGAAACAGATTTGATGTGCAAGTAATTACAGCTGTCCCAGTTCCACCCCTAGAGCAGCCCCTTCCAACCCGCCCTTCGCTGCTCCTCTGCACCAAAACCACAGCTCTGCTGCTCCCACAAAAACTGCATCCCCCTTCCCAAAGTGCTTCACTCTGCACCGAGGTGAGGAACTTGTATTTCTAACACACTCCAAGGACAGGAAGAGCAGAGGGTGCTCAAAGGAAGAGCAGAGGATGTGCAAAGCAGCTGCAGAGCCAGCAGCACCCAGATGAACGTGACATTCAATGCTGGACAGTTTTATCTCACTCTGCACTCCAAACTGCATTTGAGAGAGAAGCCACAGTAAAAATATCCCTTTAGCAGAAGACAAAACATGTAGAATTGGTACCCATTACTACAATCACTATCACCATGTTGTAAAGACATCATTTATCTGAGAAAGGATGATGCTGAGTCCAAGAGCCATCACTTTCTGATGTGACTTCAAAACTGTCTCGAACATTCCCAGTACAGCTAAAGTACTGTCTGGCACTATTTCAGACAAACCATTCCAACTCAAATCTCACATCCACTGTGCTCTAAAACAAAGCTAACCACTTTCCAGCTGAAAAACCCTACTTTTCTATTAGATTGATCCATATACTTGTTTCCCTGTTACCTTGCAAGGTCATTCAACTTCTCTCTTTTAGCAAGATATTCCTCTGCACTGAAAAGAAAAAAATATTCAAAATTCCAGCTATTAAAGGTGCCCATAATTTTAGAGAGACATTTCTAGAAAATCTCCAGACAGAGCAGAGTTCACAGAACACTCTGAAACTGTTAACTGTTAACTGTTACTTTAATACACCTATGTGAGAGTGATGGATTCATTCTTCCCACACCATGAATGATTCAGACAGGCTTTATTTATGTTTAACAGTAGAACTTCTGATGTGCTCATTACCATAATCCAAGGGAGACAGGCCTCATTTTAACAGAATTAAGCAATCTTAAAAAGACTCAAAGTTTTGGCAGCCCCAAGGGATGTTCAGCCTGCACTCATTTTATAGTGCCATCTGTGATGCTATTTGAGGAGTATACAGATATTTAACACTTCTGTGTCAGTAGCTTCTAAAGTGTCTTGAGGTCTGTTACAGCAGCACTTAGCAACTCTGTGAAGTCTCAAAACCCAGGCTCTTCATTTTGTTATATTATTTCTATAATACAGCTTGTTCCTGTAAAACTCCAAGCTCACTTGGTTAAATAGTCCTGACTAATTTTGTCCTAGCATAGCAAGGAGCCACTCCAAAATAAGCTTCTGCACAAGAGGTCCTTGAGTTGACACTCTGGTCTGATATTCACGATACAATTCTGATAGTAAACAGCTTAACTGTATACTGGTGCATATCAATCAACATTTAAAATATATTAACTATATCTTCTTATACATACATATGTACACACACAGGGGATATTTTTACATAAACAAGGAGTGTTCAACACCATATAGGGCATCTAGAAAATAAATACCTTCCAACTTGATGGGCAGAGGGTCAAAAGAACAGCTAACTGGCCTGCTGGTTTTCTCTTTCTGTCTTTATTGCAGTGATGAATGAATCTGTGGTTTAGTCACAACCCAACATCCCCTAGGATGTTAGGAAAAACCCATATATAAAAACCCCAAACTCTACTCAAGCTTATCAACAGCAGAGCCTGAAGTATCTGGAAAATACCTAAATGCACAAGTTTTCTAGTACTTACACACACATAGCTTCTGCCATCATCAAGCACCACAACTGAACTCTTACAATGAGCTGCAATAATCTCCTTGTCAGAAGAGCAAAGAGTCTCCAGCGTTCAGTGGAATCCACTGATGTGCTGTGTTTCACAGGTATCTTTGTGAGCCACACCTGCTTTTCTCTTTGTCTCTTTTTCCAGAAGTCTTGTTTTTTCTGCACACCTGCCTTCTCCAGGCTGGGCTCCTCCCCAGCCCAAGCGCTGTTCTCCTGCCTTCAGGGAATACCTCCAGCAGGTGCCTGCCTTGACATTTAAAGGGAATTAACCAGAATTATCTACAATCCTTCCAGGAGTGCTGCTTAATTCTGCACAGCCCTAAGCTGTCACAGGGTTGAAAAATCTGAATTATAATATCTTAATTCAGAGTATCAAAAGGGTACATTTACCACATTCCAACGCACGTACCACATACATGGAAATTCACTCGTCCTGTCCAGTGAACCAAACTTTTCTCAGTGGTATGAACTGGTAAAACTGCAGCTCATTATTACACTAAAGCAAGCATTACAGATGTAGAAAGTGGCACTTACAAAGTTCTCAGAAGATGAAGTATCTGAAAACTATTTTCAGAATGTTTGATAGAAAGCTTCAAAAAATATAATTTTTATTCCTGTGAATATCAGGAGGGAAAAAAATTTCATCTTAGTAACTTTAATCCTTTGGCCCTTTTTCATAAGACCCAATCTTCCAGAAAGCTCAATTCAGGTTTTGGGAATTTTTCCTCTCTTAACAAGAGACTGAAATTAGTTTGAACCCAAGGGCAACTTCTTTAATATCTGTCCAACATACATTTGACCTTCTATGAAAAGCCTGAGTTTTTCTCTTCTGAACAGAATGGGAAGTTTAAGCTGGATTGCATCTTCCAGTTGTCAAGGTTTATGAAAGAAATATGAAAATGAAAAGTGACTCACCTCACAATTAACAAGGAAAGAACCTGAAGCCCCAAATCAAAGCATCAGATAGCTACAATATTTAGCATTTAGAGTGCTCTTCCCACAGACTGATCCAGTGGCATTTTTCAGGCCTGTGTGGAAATTGCTACAGCATTTTAATGATATCTTTACAAAAGAATTTTAGATAGGTGATAAATTTTGTATTTTAATTAAAGAAAGTAGAAGAGTTGAGGTCAGCAGAATGATACTGCTTGATCTAATTTAAGGTAATGCTGCACTCAAAGCCTCCTTCACACACAGGTTGCACTGGCTTGGTGACAATATTACTTCATATTGATTTTGTCAGACGTGCAACTTTTTCACTGACATTTTTATAACTCCACTCTGTTCAGACTGTACAGTGCACAAGGTCAGCAATCTGATTATCTGCTATTAATTCATACTGTTAGAAAATAGCTCACTGAAGCTATACATCAGGTTTTCTGATGCCCAAAGATCAATACATGTTAGTTTGTACATTTAGTCCTTTGGAGGATATTGAGATTGTTTAGGATCCGTTTTCAGGGAAGTAAAGTGATACGTAGTAAAAAATTCTGAAAACCTCAGGATCTGCATCAGAAAACGGCCGTCTAGGGAAAACAAGTTATTGCTAAGCAGTTTCCCACCTTTTTAGAACTGGAGGCATTTTTAAACATCCCATTTCATCAAACATTGGAATGGATTTTAAATTTCTAGGAAAGCCAGGCCACTTTTGTATGGTGGAAGTAGTGTACTGTATGTTTCCTATGAAATCTGCAACATGACAATGAATGAAGCCTGTGCATGTGAATAACGGAGGTGCAGGAATTTTAAGAAGCTGCAGATCCTACAGTAGAAATCAAGTTTTGCATTGTTTCAATTAAAAAAGTTTCTACCTGCACTTACAGGTATCTGCATTTCTGAAAAGCAACTCTTCGTAGCAAGACCACAAAGGGATAAGGGACAGTTGAGTACTGGGCTGAAAGCAGCAAACTAAATAATGAGATGTTTCATCTGGTTTAGACAGAATACTATCCTGAACTTCCAAGCATAATCTCTGTGACATTTTAATTTTAAGGCACAGACAAATTTACAGCTGAGTCTCCTATCCCAAACTTGACTAAATGCTAGCCACTATGGCTTTGCACAATGCAGTGGATTAACAGGGGTTATCCTCTGCAGATTTTTTTCAAATTAAAATTTACCATGTATTTACTCTTTGTTTCTATCTTGTTTCCTGGAAACTGATAAGGGGGTTTGTTCTTCTGGGTTTTTTTTTTTTTTGTTTGGTTTGGTTTTAAGGTTTTGCCATTGTTGTTGTAGTGGGAGTTTTTGTCTGTTTGGGGTTTTTTGGTTTTTTTCTTTTGGGTTGAAGGTTTTTTTTGGTCAAGCTAAATTCAATATCATTTTCAAGGGGGAAAAGAAGAGGCACGAGGACCAAGTCATTTAGTCATTCATACAAGCACCTGTGTATTCACAAGATCACAGGTGAAATATAACATTTTAATAACGAAAAAGTCCCAAACATCAGAATACTTGAATCTCACTAAAAAAACAAACAAGACAAAAAAAACAAAAACACCAAAAAAAAACCCCAAGAAATAAACCAAAAATACCAACAACAAACCCTTGACATTTCAAGTACTATTCCAGAAAATTTGTGTCTTTTAATATGTAATGCTCATTCAACAGTGAGTTTCAGCCAGAGCCATTTATCCCTTAGGAATGGATTTTGTTTCTCAGCTGAAGCAATGATTAATTTTTTCTTTTTAAAACTGCATTTATATTCCCCCACACTTACACAGGCAGACATACATGCTTACTTCATGTTTTGTGTTAAAGGCCAAGACATTGAATATTATGCATCAATATACAAGACATATGTATTTGGAATTTTTTTTTTTTGTGGGATGCCTTCTAAAATTAACTTCTAATAGTATCCAGACAAATTTCTCTCTGCATTTGCAGTATTTCCAGAAAGCAGCAGCACCCCAATCACTTCAACTTGTTTCTCTCCACCCATTTCCTGGGCAGCAGGGGATTTCCAGGCCCAGCAAAAGGCAGGGGGCAGGCTCCAGGAGGACTCACCTAGCTCACCCGCTGCATTCCGACCTCCAACTGCATACAAATGTCCTTTGAGGGCACTTAGGTGGAAGAAGGTCCGTTTCTCGTTTAAAGATGCCACTTGCATCCACTTGTTGTAGCGAGGATCAAACCTGAAGACCGTGTCGACCGCCGTCTTTCCCTTGGTGTCGTAATTGCTCTGGCCCCCCACCACGTACAGGAAGTTCCCGATGACGGCGATGCCGTGCTGGTACCTGGGCGCGTCCATGGGGGCCAAGGATTTCCACTCGTGGGCCTTCTCGTCGTACATCCGTAACTCCTTGCTGACCACCAGCTGCTGCCTGAGCACTCCCCCCAGGGTCACCAGGTGCGTGCTGTCCGAGCGGATCGCTGTCCGCTCCGACTGCATCACCGGCTGCATGTACGGCATCATTTGGTAATTGCTGGCTTCCAGGAGCAAGTTGACACAGGTGTTGTCAGTTCTCATGAAGTCCACTGTCTGAACGTAGTTAATAAGATCCTGGGGTGTCATCAGGGGAAACCTGATGTTCTTCATGAGCTTTGCAGCGTACTCCATGCGGGGTTCCTCGTAGCGCAGCCAGCGACATGCCGCCTTGAAGAGCTCCAGTTCAGTGCAGTGCTTAAGGCTATTACTTGAAAGCACGAAGGCAAGACGTTCAAAGGGGAGTTTCACAAATTCACCAGTACTTAATAATGCAGGGAAGTTCTTCAGGATGAAATTATTAACATATTTATCCACTTCTGTGAGGTTGTACGTGTTGGCAATTCGCCCAACCTCAACACAGTTTTCCAAAGAAACCTATTAAGTAAACAGAGAACGGAATCAAAAAACTTTCTTAATTTGGTGTCTAAATGATAATGTCAAATTTAATGAATACTGTAGAATCAGCAATATTTCAGCATTTTGCAGTGCTCAAGGTGATTTACACGTGAGCAAATATTCAATGCACTATATATATATTCATGACTGCAAGGGGAGACCAAATTTATTCCCTATTTTGAAGAAGGAAAACAGACAAGTAACAAGCAGATGGCATATATTATGTCAAATACCTTATACAACAATGAGGCATAGCAGTTATATAGCACTTCATCTTTGAAAAGCTCTGAAAACATCTTTGTAAGAAAGACATGTGGAAAATAAAGTTAAGGGAGAGGTGATCACCCCAAGGTCACAGAGAGCAAAACAAAAGTCTCACCATTAGACATTTTCTGACATTATTAAAATTGCATCAGCATAACAAAACCGAAGAGAATGGCACAGCTAACCCCTGTATGCCACGTATTTCAGACAACTTATATTTACAGTGTTCAATCTCATGAATACATTCCTTCAAAACAAACAAAAATGGATCTGTAATAAATCAAAGCAGTGTTCTTACTGACTGTTCAAAATTAAATACATGCCAAAAATAAGACAAAGGTAGTGATTTTAGCTTATACATAATTTTTTTAAAAGAATGAACCTAGGATGATTTCCTGTAAAAATACTCAGCTCATTAAATGCTTTAGCAGTATGGATCACACCCTAATTTAAGTCAGTACTCGAGTGACCGTATCTTGGTAATCATCTGTTTTACCCTGTAGCTGCATCTACCTTTTTATACCTTTGAGTCCTGAATTTCTAAGGTCACTTGGGATCCAAGGCACAGGGTGAAAGAAACATACCAGGCATGGGGCACAACTTCTAGTGGGTTTTCAGTGAAGCCAGTCAGCTCATTTCAGAAACTGGTACACCTGCCCAGCAAGTGATTCAAATGCTTCTTGTCGAGAACTGCAACTTTTTCACATTCAAACCTTACTCCCATCCAAGCTTTGTTTACACTTGTTCTTGTCTCTCTGCATGTCAGTCCTACTCAGTGTCAAGCATTTCCACAACTTTGTGATTCTCATTACATTTGTCATGCCAGAAGAATTTAAGCTTATAAATCTCACAGTTATTTTAAAAAAGATTATAAAGATATGACCCAACTGGAGCATAAGAATTCAAAAACCTTCAAATGACCTTCTGTTCATGACAGAGATTAGAAGATTTTAATGCTGTATAACTCAATCTGATCATTGTCCTTTAATACCAGACAATTCAAATGTCTAATGAGTACAGGAATAGGAGATTTTCTTGTTTCACTAGAAACTGATCTAACTTGCCCTAGAGTTAAGATCTACAGCCATCCAAAGTCTTCATTCACACATCCTGAAATGCCTACTAATCCTGTAATCAGGTCCTATCTATAAAATGAATGTGCAGCAGACTGTCAGGAGTTGTATTATGAACTGAATTTGTGCTTTATAGGCACAGAAATAATCTTTATATTACAAGGCAGACCTCATCGTTTATATCAAAATATAATCACACCAACTAGCAACAGCCGATAAAATATTCCCTGACTGGTTTTGAGTCAGCTCAGAGAAGCTGTGGCTGCTCCATCAAGTGTTCAAGGCCAGGCTGGATGGGGTTCTGAGCAGCCTGGTCTAGCAGAAGCTTCCTGTCCACAGCAGGGGGTTTGGAACTTTGGATGATCTTTAAGGTCCCTTCTGACCCAGGCCATTCTATGATTCTAATTTCTGTACATTTCCTTTTAGGTATTTTAATTTACATAAATTAATTGCATAATGGAAATAGCAGCATAGCATAAATTAATTAAATTTAAAAAAATATTCTTACTTCTAAAATTTTTTTCAAGTTGTATTAGAAAATAAAGCAATGGAAAAATCACCCCTTAACAAATAGCTGACTTGCAGTGTACCACAAATCTTAACTCTTGCTATGTAGTTATTATACTTAAAAATCACTTTGGAATACATGAACTGGCACCAAACTAGAGAGATGTAGCACTTCCTCCACATCAAAGTAGGCAGGCAGGTATTAATGCATACAGGAAAGGCACGCTTGAACTTAAAAGATCAAAGCAAAACCTGCAGTTTTTGTACAGGTTTCTGTACCATTGGCACATGTTTAGGATGCAATGAATTATTTAGAGCTATTGCTGACTGGATGCCACTTATCAAGTGCCCAGAGTGCATCGAGTTATGTATTACCATAATTATGTTACCCTGTAAATCTATGCAACTGAGCATATTCCTGGACTTCTTACATTTGAGAAATTTATTGACACATTACTCACTGCTAATGACTGATAAACATGACATCAGCAGTTTCCAGTCAACCCTTGATTCTCGGAAAATTTACTTTATACTGCCTTTATTAATCCTCTGGGACTGTATCGCACTCAGGGTTGTTTTTCTCATATATGATTGCAAGTATTTCCCATTATGCTTATGAAATCGTGCACTATGTTTGACTCACTAACAAATTCCACCACTCACCTCAAATCAGGGCACCATATTAAATATTGTCTTAAAGGTTACTTTTCTTGCAAAATTACTATTACCCTCTTTACTGTGCTCTAAGATAATGTATGAGGTTAAATTATATTACAAAGACTTAAAAGTCATAAAAATATATATTCTAGAAATTCTTAAATCCTGAGCCAAAAAATATCCTTCATGGAAAGAAGTGCTATAGCTACTTCTACTTGAATATTCAAAACTGGACAGAGTTCAGAACAATAATGTTATTTAAATAAATACTTGAGTCACCCAAACATTGGGGATTTTTAGGTTTTTTACAAGTTTGACTTATGCTATGGTTCTGTCTGGAAGTCAATCAGGCAGGAGCTCTTGAACTGATACTGTGGAAATCCCACTGTAGTGAACAGGAGGAATGGAAATATCAGGTGAAAATATAAGACCAACTGTACAGTGTATCCCATAACTGCTAAAAATACTCACAAGGAAAGAGCTAAAACCATAAACATTCAAACAGCTAAGCAGCTCCACAAGGAGCTGAGAATTTCATTTAAATAAATCCTATTTTACATGGACTTTGACTACTGAGCAGAGCTGCTCACTCACATTACTCATTGTAATTGCTCATTACAAAGCACAAGCTGCAGAAAATACTAAAAAGCTTTTGAAAAAAGAAAGGTCAAGCACAGCACCGTGTTATGACAGCCTGAAAAACCCAAAGCAAAAGCCAAAGTACTTTCTTGAGAAATCAGTTCACTTAATTCTTTGAAATTTTGAAGCAATCACTTCCCAAGCTCTCATACAAACTTAACTGACTAAAATACTACAAAACTGGACACAGCAAAATGATTGTGAGTATGGGAGCCTTGGAGAACAGCTCAGGAAAATGAACATGCACAAAAAAATCAAGCCCTCAAACCCAGGAGCACAAAAACATTGGGTACCTCACTTTGTTTTGTTTCAGAGACACTGAAGCACTCAATGCAGCACATCAAAGGGTCCAAGTGTAAAAGAGCAAACACACCCCTGAAACCCTCAATTTTCATGTGGGGTCCCATTGACAGAATCCCAGAAAAAAACAGAAACATGACCAGCTCAGAAAACAGAATCCATTGTACTCCTACAGTGCAAATTCATATTTCTGATGGCTGTCAGAGCTGGGTTAAATCCCACACTCCCACAAAACAGATTAACTTGCTGCATCATCAGATAACCAAGTTCTTTTGACAAGACACAATTCCAAGTATTAAGCCCTCAATATTTGACTATTTCCTAGTAGTTACAAAAACAAAGCACCAAATTATAGAAGGAATAAATTTTTTTTGCAGGTACATCCAAGACGTTAATTTTCAATGTTCGGGAATGTTTCTTTATTTACAGTGCAAGAACCCTTTCTCTCATTACCCTGTGATTTTCCTAAGTGCTGTAATTCACTTGGGTAAGTTTCTCATCTTTCTCCATTTTGTACAATAATGCTACTTTTGCAAAATCTGTGTTGTGTCTAGAACTCACTACTCTGAAAACATTTCCACAGCATTTTTATGATTTTTAATTACATTACACTTCAGTTAGATGTGAACATGAGAGTGGTCCCAGTCTATTGTACAGCTATAATTATTTAAAACCAATATTAAGACTGAAAACATCTCAGGAAGTATTCCATTGTTTCTCAGAGTCTGTTTGGTTGCAGAGCAAAGATAATCAGAGCAATGGGCTACTTGACAGGAGGGGTGTAAATGTAGAGCAAATACAAAAACTTTCAAGTCACCTACAACAGATAGTATTCTTTGAAGGTCTCATTATTTTTGTTACACAAATTAAGCTGTTACCTTGAGCTTCGGGTTTTCTTTGTAAATATTTCCAATACCCTCTTATAAAGTACACAATTACATTATGCCTTACATAAACTGGCTTCTATAATCTCTTTAATAATGGAATCCCCAGATAATTCAAAGACAATTAAGCATTTGTCTGGGAATGGTTACCTTAGCTCTCAAGCCAGTTAACTTCAGTAGAAGTAAGCTCAATACTTGCTCAGAATATTCATCTAAATTACAGAAATGCTCCTTCAAATAGAAGCTCATTTGCTCACCAACTCCTGGTTCAACAAATTTAGAAGTCACTCAAAAATTCTTTATATAAGAATGCTAAGATGATAACTAGGCTAACAGAAAAACCTCAATTTTGTACTTCCTCTACAGCTATACCATGAATGAGATTATGTCCCCTTCGATATCACTCTAAATTAAAGTCTTCCTGAAAAAAAACCCAATAAAATTAAAAGAATTAATAAAATCTTCCTTATTCTTTGAAAATGCAGTATCAAACAAGATATTTGTTATTTGAACAAAACCAGTGACTGAGTCAACATCACAAGTGAGCACATTTTCAGATAATGAGCATTTGAAATAACATGATTTAATATGAAAAAAATTCTTTTCCTAACAAAGCAAAATAAACAAGCAGCTGCCCTACCCAGAAAGGGGAAAGGGCAACACGGTGTCCCCAGGGCTCAGCTCCCCTCAGAGCCCTTTTCAAGTACCTGATTCAAAACAGCACCAAGACCTTTCTCCAAGTTGGTATTTACAGTAATGTCAAACCTGGAGAGGCATCAGTTTGGATGTTTAAAAAAACACTGAGCAACATAAAATAGATGGGGTAGGGCTGCAGACTATTAAGCTGAATGAAACATTATCACAACATGATCAGATGACTGGTCAGTTAGAAAATATTTCCAAATTAAAAGCAAAATGGCATTATCAAGCCTAAATATCTCTTAACATATCGTATGAAACAGATTGCTGTTATTACCAGCTTGGAGTTCTCTGGTTTGCATAAATTTTCAGTTAGGGAGGTCACATTTCTAGGCCTGTACTCTGCAGAGCAATAGGAATACTTGCTTCTTTATTTCTCATTACAGAACTGAAAAGCTGAATAATTCTAAATAATTTTGTAACTCACGTGGAACACACCAGTGTCCCTGTTAAAGTCAGAGTTCTAGTGAGGTATGCAAGCATTTATCATCAACATTAGAAAACCTCCAGGAAACATTAAAGATAACTGCAGAGTGTCTGTCCAGGCAGAACTGCTGTGACAGCCCAGCTCTCGCACCACTGCTGTTCTACAGCCCCACAGAGCAGGTGCTCCTCACTGCTGGCAGGACAGCAGGGCAAGGAAAGGTGCTGAGGGATCCTGAGTGATGCTTTTATACTGTGTTTGAGTCAGAAAACAGGTGAGTGCACCCCCTTTGAGATGGAAGGGCTGTAACTACAGGAACAGAGTGAATGCAACTGAAGCACACCTAGTGAATGCAGCAAGCAGAATAATGCCAAAGTGAGTGCAGTCATGCAGGGAGACCCTGAAACATCAACAATTCTTCCCTTCCATATAAGGGAAGAATTTTAATGTGGTAAAACTCTTCTGTCAAACTCATACTGCACATAATAGTTGGAAAAAAACCAAGTTTTTCAAGGAAACTATAAAGCAAATTTGGCCTCTGTGAATCTAAATATGAATAATAGCGAGTTTTAGACATAACTTGGACTATTATGTAAGACAGTGTCATTACAGAAATAAAAACAAAACTACATGCCAAGGCCTTAAACATTGTAAATGGGAAACAAATAATCTTACCCCAGAGATAAGAAATACTTTACAGAAGTCCAAAACGGGTAAAATCTGCAAAAAACTGGCAGCTTCCAGAGTGTCCTGAAGGTTGTCCATGTTAAGGGAAAGTTTTGCAGTGTAGATGAAATCAATGATCTTCTTTAGGCCTATTTTGTTCACACCATGAAGCTTAATGCACATTAAATCTTGTTCCTTCATTCCTCCTGAAACAGACATGCAGGCAAATGTATATGATCATTTTAATGGGGTTGAAATTATTTCATAAATTTAGAGATAATTCAAATACAATTTTAAAATTTAATTTTAAAACCCCACATGCAAAAGTAAAGAGAGATGTTTAGTCCACAGTGTTGTTTGCAATCCTGGACTGACTCATACACAGCACTGAACTTGTGTCTGAGTGTCTGAATGAGGGCAGTTTGCAGACAGCAGTACATGGCTTTAACAAAAACACCACCTGTGAACATGGCCTTGAAGTAATCACTTGCAGAAGCCATCATTGCTCTGTGGACGGGAAACACCTCATCACCATCTCCAGGAACGAGCGTCACATCACAGAGCAAGCCTTCCACTCGCAGCTGGTCAAAACCCTGCAGAAAAAGCACAATGCAAAGCATCCCTTTGATTTGGGAGCAGAGCAGGAATCTCTTTCATTTCCCTTATGTAAATATTCATTTACTCTTATGTATGTACATGTGTACTGTAGGTCCAAAAAAGTGACGAAGAAATAATTTGTCATCTCAAAACCATTATCTGTAATATATTCAATGATTATTATTCATTGAAAACAAGCAGAATAATCCTTATTTTCCAGATACAGCTGATGAATGCAAAGTACACCGGGCCTTAGAAAGTATTTTTATTTAAATAGTTAAGTTATTTTCTGGAAGAAGTTTCTTTTGTAAGCTTTCACAATAGCAGTTGCTTCAGGAAGTGACTGCTATCTTTTTTGGACCTACCCCTTTTGATCACATATGCATCCTATATATAATTCTGTTCCACAGCAATTTAAGGGGCTTGCAACCTAACAGGCTACAAAAGTCTGTGTCCTGAAAGCTGTTACCTGGTTCTATGATTATAAAATTTGTTACCAAAGCTGACATGCTAAAAATTCCAAAGGAAGCTCCCATTATACATCTGATCTCCTCTGAATTACTTAAAACCTGTAACTGTAATAATAAAGTCATCTACAGCAGCATCCTAGAGCAAGATTTCCTCCAAAGATGTACCCAGTTGTGGATACTTGAGGATGGATGAAATACTCTCCTCCTTCATTCTGAAGGCTGTGGAACAGAAGTTCAAACATTAAACATTTTCCTTCAAAATGGTATTTTTCTAATACTAGCAAGAATGCAAATATTGTCTCTGTAGATGTTCTACCACACAATAGTGCCACAATCAGACCCAGCACAGGGCATTACACCAAACCTGGTAGGGCTCTGCCACCTTAGGGACATGCCTTAATTAAATAATGATATTTAAGTGTGCTGCTTTGATACAGCTGTCACATCAGGGTTTAAATATTATTACCTCTTAGACCTTGAGAGTGGACTGGGATATGACCCCAGAAAAAGGCCAGGGTTTTGTTTTTTTTCCCAAGCTGCTGCTAAAACTTGAACCTCTATCTCACAGGAAAATAAGTCCCAAGCAAGTGCTTGCTTGTGGGCATTGGCAGCACAAGAACATGAGAGTTTTTGGGGCTTTATAGGAATTACCAGACTAATAAAATCTATTGAGTGGACATATTGTTTAGAGCAGCCAAAATTCTCAGTACAGGTCAATACAGGCATGAGGATATTTAATTACCTGTAATACCACAGAACTGTGAGTATTGCTGGTGAAAAATCTTGTGGTTCCTGTCTTCGAAGACTGCAGATGGGCAGAGACGCCCATATCGCTGCTACCAAGAGATACTTTCATATGAGGATCCTCCTCTTCCACCAGTGATCTAAGGAAATTGGAACAGAGAAACCTTAAGACCAAACTCCTTTTTTATTCAGTGATCTTTTGTTCTAAACCCACAGTCTCCTGGGATGAAATGTAACAGCACAGAGGCTACAGGGAAAAAAACATCAGCAGGCAACAGAATCAGTCCTTAGTGGCTCCCTTCAGCTAATTCAAGAAAGTGAAGCGTTTAGGGTCTCCAAAAAGGCCTAACTACTTTTTGGCTAGTAAGTTTTTCCTTTCCCTTCCATCCCCAGCTCCCAGATTCAGAAACTTGCATACTGTGTTATTTCTATTCGCCAGTATTTTAGGATGCTTGTAGAGGTTCCATCTGGTTTCCAAAACCAAGCATCTTAGCTTTTCCTTGGCAAACTGGTGAAACACTGGAACCCTAAGTGCAGTATTAAAGTATGTTCATTCTTACAGCTTGCATTACCTCATTCAGGCACGACTATTCCTAACAGAAAATATACACCACGGAGTTTCAAGCTGCAGTTTTAAACTGCTTTTAGAAACACACAATTAGAATTCCTTTGGTTATGATATCCAGGATTCTGCTACTGTGCAGGCAAACACTTCATTATTTTAATTTAAGATTTGATTCCAACAATTACTGTCCAAATTTGACAGGACAAGCTACTTTTAGGTAGAATTGTTAAAGAATTACTGCAGTATTATTAGCCTAATATTTTAATCTTGAGATGTAAATTAGATTACATCTGAGAGCCTAACTATGCTGACCTGTAATTATTATGCAATGTTAATAAAATTCTCCTACAGAAATATTAAAAACAACTACTTTCTGTGATTTCTGTGATCTAATGTGCTACCTATGAGCCTGTATAGAGGAACAATGAATTTTAATTTTAATTTTAATTGCAATTTTAATTTGCAAACATAAGCTGCTAATCCACAGAAGAGGGCATCTCCATTGTTAATCAAGACTCCCTATCTCAAAAAAGGTTTATAGCTGTTTTACATAACTGCTGCAAATTTCAGCTCCAAAAAGTTTTCCAAATTTCACACATGCAGGTTAAAACACTGGCCTCCAAGCTAGTTTCAGAAATTACTTTTAAGTAACAAGAATGCGCTGAAAGAGTCCTCCTTTTCCCCAAATTTGATTATGATATATATATATATTTACATGTAACGATATGTAAAGACAAATTTGGATTTTGTGGGGAAAAAATAATTTTCACAATTTCCTTTTTTTAAAAAATATTTACCCCCACCTTTTTTGGGTACAAAGACCATGTAGAGCACTTTCTGAAACTCACATATTACCCTCATAGCATCGATGTGCCTCCTTCAAAGCCATGAGTACAAGAGGTCAGCTAGGAAAACGTATTCAAAACAAATTCACCGTTCAACAGTGTACATGGGTTTGAAACAGTGAGATTTTAGGCACACAGACATAACATTGCAGGAACAAGGGTACATCCAAACAGCTGTGACTTCTAATGCATTCAGCTGAATAAACTAATGTGGATGAACTGCAGCATGCAAGATTTGTGCTATTTTTGAAACACAATTATCTCTATTTTAGAAAACAAATCCAGAGTCATTTGAACAAAGTTTACAGGGTATACCTTAGAAAAGGGCTCTCCAGACTATATCTACACCCAACAAATACAACTATGCAACAGAGCTGCAAGCAGTTGCTGGCTTACGACCTAAAATATTTTTGTTCACTCAGTTCTAGGGTGTTTTGGGTTTGGTAGGTTTTGTTTATTTTAGTTTTCATAGAATTGCATGGAGGCAAGAGTCTTATATAATTTCGAAGGACATCCAGTCTCTAAATCCGTGCATGTCTTTCTAAGAAGAAATACAAAATAATGTGAGGAGACTTGCAAGCGTGGGTGTGAAGAACAACAGATTCAACAAACATGAATATGACTCTTTGCTCTTGAAGCATCTTCCCAAAATGTCAGATCAGATAGATGTTACATGAAGGAATATTTAAAATAGTTTCTCTAAACTCGGAAGAAAATAGAAAGTGAACACATAATTTAAAATCAGTACAAAAAGAAACAGACAAGTAAACCAACCTTCTTGGCTGTTTGGAGTGGGCTTTTTACCATGTTTGCCACATCACTACTTGACTTCCTGACAGACAGTATAATTCATAAGTTTTACAAATGAAGGCAAAGACCTTGAGCATGATTCATTTATTCCAAGAACGGCTGGGATAATGGAAGCGTTTTTTCAGAACATGACACACAACTTCCCATAGCTCTGTTCTCTACAGGGCATCCTCTATAGAACACAATGCCTTGTTAAAACTGCACAGTCAACAGAAAGGATAAAATACATTTTAAAATACTTGCAATACCTAAAAGTAGACATTCAACATGCCTGGTATGGCTATAAGCAGTTATTTTCTCTACCTGACTTTCAATATATAATGATCAGTTCTCTATATCACACACATAAGCTCAACAGTTCACCACCTGAAGCTCCTCTGCAGAGAAGATTTCCACTATTTCTCTTCCACATTTGCTGTTATGTATGGACAGAAACTTGCACGTGTGAAAGAGGCATTAAAAACTGCAAATTCCACACTATAAAAATTTATCAAAGTATAACTGTTACAATTCTAGTCCTAAACATTAACTTGGCTGCATATGATTCCATGTGAATAAAGACAAGCAGATTATATTAATCTTATACAGGTTTCAGTTTATATCTAAACAACTATGACAAAAAAAAAAGTGATGTGGGTTTTTTTGTGTGTGGGGACTTGGGTATTTTTGTTTGATTTGCTGTTGTTAAATACACCACCTTTCTAACCTATAGCTTAGCAGTTCTGGAGGGCTGAGCACCCTCTCCCTTCTGCAGAAAGTGACATTCAGGAGCTGGGTTTGGCAGAAGTTCCAAAGCAAGTCAGCAATAACACCTGACAATAAGTCCCTGATCCCCTGAATTCCAGCCCCGTGACATTCACCAAGAGGGAAAGAGCACTCCCAGAGCCACCACAAATTATGCCTTTGTTACTGGCTTTGTAGCAGCTCAGCATTCATCTCCACACTGCACAAAGAACCCGTCTTTGAGACAAACTGAAACTGCAACAGCGCTTAAGCTCTGTGTTAAGAGCAATACACAAGGAGCAGAACCCAAGCATTACATCACATACCCTGCAACAAAATCTTAAAGCATTCAGAGTGTAGCTTCTGTTGCAGGGGCTGTAACATTAAGATTCAGAAATAACTCTGCCATTCACACCCAGAACAGATGGGAAATGTGCTGAATGTCCAACTGACTTCCCAACAAAACCACAGTAAGTACGTCTGTCTTGTCTGGACACTTACCAAAGGCATTATTTACATTGATTAACATAGGTCTACTAAGCACTATCATTAACACAATAGTAATGAATGTAAACATATTGATTTTTTTTTTAAGTACAGTATATCACAATTAAGCATACTACCAAAGGAGAAAGTTAATTCACTTTCTAATTAATTCTATTGTTCTGATCAATAGAAATCATTAAACAAGAAGTGCAGCAGTACCATTTTTAACCAGAGTTTAAAGAAGTTAAGAAACAAAAGTTAAAAGAAGTTAAAACTACAGCAACATGTAGTGAGAATTCACAACAAGCTGCTCCAAACATGGATGTTAAAACCACCTTCACCACACACTTGGATCTGGAGAGGGTTGAACATCATAGCAGTAAGGAGAAGGGAACGTTGGAGTTGAACGTGAAATGAATATTAACACTACAAAAGGAAGGCAGAGGAGATGCCTGACTTTCTGTGACCTCTGGGAAGCAGTGGCTTGCAGTTCAGAGAAAGGTGCCAGAGGTTAATTAGCTGCTATCACAAAGTAGGTTGAATCAGAATTTTCTTTCTAACCGCATGTTGATTCTTTCAAGTACAGCACAGTTTTTTCCTACAGGCTGTAACCAAATGTGCTTTTCTCATGACTCCAAGTACTTCCAACTGTTATTTTTGTAGTGATGAAATATGGAGTGTTCATTATATGGATATTAATGTGCTTTAACTTTCCAGCAAATACTGACAGATTTCACTGGCTGGAGTTACAACATGATTCACAGAGGCAAATTGCTTTCTAAACCACTTAACAAATATTAAGCTGTTGAAACAGTTCAGAGGCATCCAGGTGACCCATGATAAGATCTGTGAAAACTGTGACAGATTTTATTCTCAACTAGAATACCCAAATCATGGAGTTGCCATTTTGTAAAGCTTAATGGCACAAATGAAATAAACCAATATTCTGTTATGATGTTTTCTTCAGAAACAGTCAAGTTTATTCTGATGCAACAGAAACAAGGCAACCAAGAATATTAAGGATTTGTTCATTTCCATCAGTAATCTATTCATCTGTCTCTCAGACTATTGTAGAGACTCTTTGAAGACAAAGTAAGGAGATCAGCCTACAGTTACAGATATTTTAGAGTGCATGTTCTCCAATTTATTTAAAACCCAGTCTTTACATAACTCAGTAAAAGCTTTGCCAAAGCCAGATTGGCCAGAGAGTGAGTTCTTAATTTGGCAAAGCTCAATACCTCATTTTTGAAAGGACTATAACCTTCTTTTCTCTGTCAAATTACTATTCAGTGACCCATGACCACAAGTGTTCTGGTCACTGGTAAAATGGTTTCTGATGCAATCACTCCTGGCATGTGCCAGGACTGGTTTTTATCAGGTAACAAGGACAGAGATTTCAATTTCATAGTAGGTTATTCTTATTTTTTATAAATATACTTATATATTTATTATGGCCAAATCTTTATGATTTTATGACCTATCCAAAAAAACCCTGGTACATTCCAGGACTATCCTATGCATGCACCTACACATGTAATTTGCTAATAAACCTATTAATTAAAAGGTCAGTGAATTACAAAGAAATTTTCATTTGTTATTAAAAATACAATAATTTTTTACTTTGTATGCATAATCTGCCAAAGAGTATTTTAGTAATCTTAGTCTCCAAAAAAAAAAAATAAATTATTGACCATATTGCTATCTTCTCATT